CTCGATATTTTCCAAAACAATACATGCAGAACACAGTACAATAGATAATTTCAAACTTTCAAATTCTATATCTTTCAATCAAAACTCAAATTGAATCTTTTAGGTCAAGTCAATTTCTGCAGAAGTTTGTTAATGTGAAATGTGCAATGCGGAATTGAATCTTCTCAGAAAACTCAAATTACAATAAAACCTAATCTCAGTATTTTCTATTCCCCAGATTGATTTAAATGGCTCAAAACATTCCTGGTTATCCTTGGTTGGAGATGTAGAAATAAAGGAAATGGACCTTGGTTAGAGATGTAGAAATGATGCTCAAATATGGAACAAGGAAGAAAAATCTTCTAAAGCGCAATGTAGAGATTGAGGGTTAGAGAGCTCTCAGAGAGGGAAGGATTTTTAGGTTTAAAAGTGTATGTGCGTATTCACCCTTAGCAGTATTTATAGGCACGCTTAAGCACATGGCTACTTTTGAGAGTAAAAGTGACCTTTATGTTATTAAAAGTCCCAGCGTTATCACTATTATTCATAAGAGTGAATGTTCCAAAGAGTGTATTTTTTAGAGTAAGGGGCACGTTATCACTATTGCTGGGAAAAGTGATAACGCGCAGCTATGTTGCAACTTTTGTTAATAAAAGTAATAATGCCCGGAGGTCCAAGTTATACTTACCTGTGCGTAGCCACTTTTGTCAGAAAAAGGAAGCATTCCAGAGAATTAATTTTTCCATATGTCTCTGCGTAATCACTCTCATCAGTAAGAGTGAGTGTTCCAGAGGAGCTTTTTTACCTTGATGCCTCTGTGTGATCACTTTTGTCAGTAAAAGTGATTGTTCCAACAGAGATCCTCAATGCGTAGCTTCTTTCCTGCAACATAGTGACTCCTTTCATTAATCAAATTCATCTCAACTCTCAATTAACTCACTTCTCATACTCTAATCCTTTAATTTACTTCTCTCAATTCCAAATCTCTAATTATTTATTAGATTCAATTCAGAAAAACAGTTGTAGCAACATATTTGCAGAACTTCGATAAAATGGTAAAACATGATTATACAGATTTCTAATTTTGTAGATACACATTCTAAACATTGGATCTCAATTCAAGTACTAATTTCACCTCAGCATAGATATGCAGCAGAATCAAATTGCAGAAAAGCAGAAAATTACAAAACATGCATATGCAGAATTCTAAAATACTACAGAAAGTTTAAAATGGGTTAGAAATGTGAGTTGCCTCTCACAAAGCGCTTCTTTAATGTCACTAGCTTGACATTAGTTGTTCCTCACTCAAGAGGAACCAATTTCAAGCACACTTGGGCTTTCTCAATTTGACCTCCAAGGTAGATTTTCAATCTTTGTCCATTCACCTTGAACTCTCTCCCATCCTTTGGATCTGCTATTAGTACAGCACCATATGGAAATACCTCTTTCACCACAAAAGGTCCAGACCCCTTAGATTTTAACTTCCCTGGAAACAATCTCAACCTTGAATTGAAAAGTAACACAGACTGCTCAGGTTTGATATCCCTTTTTAGAATGAATCTGTCATGCAGCTTTTTGGTCCTTTCCTTGTATATTTTGGCATTTTCATATGCATTGAGTCTGAACTCGTCTAATTCATGCAGCTGTAACAGTCTTTTGTTTCCTGCACTAACTTGATCAAAATTCAACCATTTTACAGCGCAAAAGGCTTTATGTTCTTGTTCCACTGGTAAATGGCAGGCTTTTCCATACACTAACTGATAAGGAGACATGCCAATTGCTGTCTTCAATGCTGTCCTGTATGCCCACAAAGCATCATCCACTTTCTTGGACCAGTCCTTCCTTGAACTACTAACCACTTTCTCCAAAATCTGTTTTATTTCTCTGTTGGAAACCTCCACTTGACCATTTGTTTGAGGGTGATAGGGTGTAGCTATTCTATGCTTTACTCCATACTTCTCTAGGACTGATTCTAGATACTTGTTGCAGAAATGGCTTCCTCCATCACTTATCAGAATTCTGGGCACTCCAAATCTTGAGAAAATATTTTTTTGATGAATGCAATAACAGTCTTAGCATCATTGGTTCTGGTAGGAATTGCTTCCACCCAGTTGGACACATAGTCCACTGCTACTAGCATGTACTCATTTGAAAATGAACTAGGGAAAGGACCCATGAAGTCTATTCCTCACATGTCAAACAATTCTACTTCAAGTATGTTTTGCAATGACATCTCATGTTTCCTAGATATATTCCCCATTCTTTGGCATCTATCACACCTTTCCACATAGTTCTTAGCATCTTTGAACAAAGTTGGCCAGAAAAGACCAAATTGCAGGACCTTGGCTGTTGCTCTTCCTCTGGTATACACCTTCTTAGCAGTCCATCTATTCCAATTTTGAACAGCAGTGGATCTTCCCAAACATAATACTTGCTGTCATAGAAGAACTTCTTTCTCTGCTGCCAATTCATCCAATTTGGAACATGATGTGTAGCTTTGAAGTTGGCTATATCTGCAAACCAGAGCTGTGATTTAATCTTGAATAGGCTTTCATCTGGAAATTCTTCTTTTATTTGTTTCACTTCAAATGGTATGGCTTCAAGTGGTAATCTTGACAAGTGGTCACCAACACCATTCTCTTTCCCTTTCGTGTCTTTGATTTATAACTCGAATTCTTGAAGAAGAAGGATCCATCTTAATAACCTGGGCTTTGCATCCTGTTTTGACAAAAGGTACTTAACAGCAGCATGGTCAGTGTAAACTATAACCTTATTAAGTAAGACCGAAACTTATCAAATGCAAAAACTATTGCTAAGAGTTCTTTTTCAGTAGGAGTATAATTGATTTGTGCAAGGTTAAGAACTCTACTAGCATAATGAATAACATGCAGTTTCTTGTCTTTTCTTTGGCTTAAAACTGCTCCTATAGCTACATCACTAGCATCACACATCAGTTAAAAAGGATATTCCCAATCTGGTTTAACAAGTACAGGTGTAGAAATTAATTTCTCTTTCAAAGTGTTAAAAGCTACTAAGCACTTATCATCAATACCAAATTCTATATCCTTACTCAGCAACTCACTCAATGGCTTTGCAATTTTAGAGAAGTCTTTAATGAACCTTCGATAGAATCCAGCATGTCCCAAAAAACTTCTTACTCCTCTAACATTTACAGGTGGAGGCAGCTTCTCAATTACTTCAACTTTTACAGGATCCACTTCCTAAGACTATCCCTTCTTGTACCATAAAATGGCATTTTTCCCAATTAAGTACAAGGTTTGAGTCTTGGCAACACTGCAAAACAAAAGATAGATTAGCTAGACACTTATCAAAAGAATTACCAAATATAGAAAAGTCATCTATAATTCTTTCAATCATATCAGAAAAAATGGACAACATACACCTTTGAAAAGTGGCTGGAGCATTGCATAACCCAAATGGCATCCTCCTATATGCAAAAACTCCAAAAGGACAAGTGAATGTTGTCTTTTCTTGGTCTCTTGGATCAACTGCAATCTGGTTGTAACCAGAATATCCATCTAGGAAACAATAGTAGTCAAATCCAGCCAATCTCTCCAGCATTTGGTCAGCAAATGGAAGAGGAAAATGATCTTTCCTTGATGGATCATTCAACTTCCTATAATCTATACACATTCGCCATCCGGTTACTGTCCTAGTAGGTATTAATTCATTTTTTTCATTTGGAACAATAGTTATACCTCATTTCTTAGGCACCACATGAACCGGACATGAACCGGACTTACCCATGAACTATCTGAAATTGGATAAATAACTCTTGCATCAAGTAGTTTAATCACTTGTTGCCTCACTACCTCTTTCATAGTTAGGTTGAGTCTTCTTTGAGGTTGGATAACAGGCTTGCAATTCTCAAATAAAATTTTTCTGCAATATGGTACTACACTCTTCAGACTTGGTTGAGTCCTCAAATAAAATTTTGTGCATACAGAAAGATGGATCTATACCTTTCATATCTGAAATCTGCCATCCTAGTGCAAATTTGTGCTTTCTTAACACTCTCAAGAGTTTTTCTTCTTGGTCTTTCTGCAGATTGTTGTTTATTATTACAGGTTTGTTATGGCCTTTTTCAAGAAACACATACCTCAAATGAGAGGGTAATTGCTTAAGCTCCACTTTGGATTCTTCTTTTTTTTTTCTTCTTCTTCCTTGAGTTGATTTATTTCATTGTTCATACAGGGAAGGGAATCTAACTACAGAATGCATTCTTTTACTTTCTCATCTTGCTCTTCCTAAATACTACATTTCGCTGCAGCTAATATGCTTTCCAAGACTACACTTTCATCATTTTTTTCCAAAGAAAGTGGTATCACAACATCTATTGCATCAATCTTCATGCAGCTCATATCATCACTTGTACTCTTAGCATCAATTCACCTTTTTGCACATCTATCAAAGCCCTTCCTAGAATGAGAGGGATATCAGCATCTACCTCCATATATATCTAGTATAACAAAGTCTGCAGGGAATATAAATTTGTCCACTTTGACTAAAAGATCTTCAACTACTCCATAAGGATATGTATATGATCTATCAGCCAATTGTAATGTAATCCCAGTTGGCTTCACCTCCTCAATTCCCAGCTTCTTCATAATGGCTAAAGGCATCAAATTTATGCAGGCTCCCAAGTCACACAAAGCTTTTCCAACTGTACAATTTCCAATGGAGCAAGGTGTGCTGAATGACCCTGGATCTTTCAACTTTTGAGGTAGTTTTTTCTGCAATATGGCACTACACTCTTCAGTTAGTGGTGCCAATTTTTCCATATCCAGCTTCCTCTTTTTAGACAAGAGTTCTTTCATAAACTTTGCATAAGAGGGCATTTGTTCTAATGCCTCTGCAAATGGTATATTAATTTGGAGTTTCTTGAACACATCAATGAACCTTTCAAACTGCTTTTCTTGTCTAGGATGTTGTACTCTTTTTGGAAAGGGTAATCTCTTGTACTGCTCTTCAGTAATAGGCTTGCAGGCTTGCTCAAATTTCTACTTCTTGCCCTTCTTTTCTTGCTTGATACTGCAGTTTTCGTCATCATCTCCTGTCTTTAACATAGTATATTTTCCACTTTTGAAATCTTCTTGCTTCAGCTCACTTTCATCCTTCGGATTGGTGACTTCATTTTTCTTTCTTGGGCTGGAAACCACTGCTCCACTTCGAGTGGTTATTGCTTGGCATTGTTCCTTTGGCTTCACTATTGTGCTGCTAGGAAACCTTCCTTCATCTCTATTGGCCAGTTGCTCAGCCAACTGCCCAATTTGTGTTTCTAGCTTCTTTATAGAACTTTCTTGATTTTTAAAATTCATTTTTGTCACCTTCATGAACTGCAGTAATGTTTCTTCAATTCCATTCACTTTCTCACTCAAGGGTCTTGAATTTGAATACCTTTGATTTTTCTGAAATTGTGTAGAAGAACTTCCTTGAAAATATTGTTGCCGGACTTGAGGAGCTGCACTTTGGAAAGGTGCAGTAGCTGTATTTCCTCTTGCATTAGAATTCTGTGGATTCCACTTGGAAAACTATTGTTATTAAGCTGGAAACCAGGTGGATATGGTTATTGGATATGGTTGTTGTGGCCTTTGATAGTTGCCCATATAATTAACTTTATCAGGTTGTTCTATAACTGTGGGATCACAAGCTCCATTCACATGGTTGCCACCACAGAAATCACAATTCAATTTTGAATTTTGGACCACACCAGTCTGCATGTTACTTATTTGTTGAGTCAGGGCAGCAAGCTGTTCAGAAAATTGTTGATTCTGAAGTTGATTTTGAGCAAACATGGCTTCTATGGATTTTACATCATATCCTCCTCTCCTTATAGCTTGTCTTTCATTCATATTTTGATACATCGAGGATGCCATCATTTCTATGATTTGTTGGGCTTCTTCTAAAGTTTTTGAACTCAATGAACCATCAGCTGCTGCATCTATCATGGTTTTAGTTGCAGCAGTCATTCCATTATAGAATGTTTCAAGTTGCATCCACTCAGGTATGCAGTGATGACGACATTTCCTTAATAACTCCTTGTATCTTTCCCATGCCTCACATAATGGCTCTCCTTCTTGCTGAACAAAAGATGTAATCTCCCCTCTGATTTTTGCAGCTTTTGAAGGAGGAAAATATTTGATTAGGAACTTGTTCACCAGGTCAGCCCAGGTTGATATACTCCCTTGTGGCTGGGCTTGAAGCCAACACTTGGCTTTATCCCTCAATGAGAATGGGAATAATCTAAGTCTGATTGCATCCTCACTTACCCCATTGATTCTGATTGTGTCACAAAGTTGTAAGAAATTAGAGATGTGCAGATTTGCATCATCTGAATGGTGTCTAGCAAATTGGTCTTGCTGTACCAGATTTAGAAGTGCAAGTTTTATCTCAAAGTGGTTGGCCTGAATTGTAGGTCTCAGAATAGAAGAGTTGAATCCTTGGAGATTAAGAACTGCATAATTCCCTAATATTCTCAGTCTTGGTTGTTCTCCCATATTTATTTGTCTTGGAGTCTGATTAGGTTGAGGTTTTCCTCTCTTTGAATCTATTTAATTCTTGCTTCACTTCTCAACCTTCTTAGAGTTTGGTCAATGTCTGGATCAAATACCAAAGTAGCTTTATTTTTGTTTTTCCCTCGCATATACAACCAAATAGTCAGATATACACTAACAAAGCTGATGCAGAAAAATAACAGCAAAATCATATCAAAATTTGCAACTGCAGAATTATGCAGAAGTGCAAAATCATACAGAAATTTACCTACTAATTTTCTATACTTATCTAAGTACAGGCAAAACAGAGTACTTCTATGCAATCTATCACTCTAAACTCAATCTAGAAATTGAAAAGAAAAAATTCAGAAATCAAGAACTCAATCTAGCAATTTTTCTGTTACTAATGATATTGAAATATAAAATTCTCCAGCAACGGCGTCAAAAACTTGTTGCTTACAATCTAAACACTAGCAAGTGCACTAGGATTACAGCAAGTAATGAGTAATTTTTAAGAACAAGATATCGTCTCCATAGGGAATTTAGATTTCAAGTATCAATTTACAGAATTATAACCATTTGAGCCATACGAAATTTGAAGGATAATTGTAACATGTAACAGCAGTAAACCAAAGCAATTAAAAGTAAAGAACTTGCAGAAAAACAGAGTATAAGATGTGTAATGAAATGAGATAGGAATGAAGAATAGTTAGGAATTTGCTTCACAAGAATGTCAATATTAATAGCCAAAGGTTAGTCCCTTAACTCATTGACCCTAACAAGCAACTAAACCACCCTAATCCCTTAGGTGAAGTTCAATTTCATGTTGCATTAAGAATTAGAACCTTAACATCCGACCTAAGTGGCATATGGCAGCTGAGCTCCCTGTAGCCAGGTCGTGACCCGCTTGCAAGACCTTAGCCAAACCTGATGTGAACTCCACTACACATAAATGATGTGCTATTATTCTACTTCTATCTATGATATCACTGTGCTGCTGACACCCCTATTGAGATTGTCTTTTCTGTCCCTCCTGGTGACACTCAGTTACCTTATGCTGCTTTGTTTGCTTCCCCGACACCTATGTCGATTGACCCCCGTACTCCTACTGCTAGACCAGCCCCTGCGCCTGTGCCTGTGCCAGTGCCATTTCCTTTTATGACTCCTACTTCCCCACCCATGCTAATGAAGAGGGATGTCCATGTGGTACACTACCATGCCATCTTATATGCACCCTGCATACCCATCTACTTTGATCCCACCTACTGGTACTCGTTCACGTCCTCGCACAGTTGGAATGATGGAGGAGAATGGTCGAGGTCATGGCGCGGCTACTTCCTTTAGCTCTGATTCCTCGGCATCTTCTGAGGAGTCTGATCCCATTGAGGATTGATGTCTGTTTATTTATTTATGTATGTATGTATTAGGGGAACTGCTCTTAGGGAGTTGATCTATTTATGTTATATTATGTTTTGTTGTATTTGAATTATGTTGATCGTTCTGTTTCATTAAGTACTTGACGTTTCCGTAACTTATGTTTAATATATTTGAGGTATTTTCATAGAAAAGGAATTAAGCTTATTGCATGTACACTCGTACCAAAAAAAAATGTTACCAGATTTTGGTCTTTTGTAAACTATCATGTTATATAGTTGGTATCAATGTTTTAGTAATTTAGGACACTACAGCCGTTGTTCACTGTTGTGAGGATTCGTACGTTTATTTACCTGCACATTTACGTTTATGTATTTTAATTGCAGTTTCCTTTGTTTGTTATTTCCACTGTTTCTGCTATTCAGTGCTTGTTTTGCATGCTTTATGCAAAACCTTTATATTCAATCATTGTTACATAATATTGCTCACAATTCCTGCTTAATACTCTATTTTATAACGTCAATTTGAATATTACATTAAACAACACACTTAAAAGAACCTAAAGAGGACCTAAATTGAATATTGCAGTCCCTAGATTGCTCTTGTCAATTTGAATATTGCAGTCCCTAGATTGCTCTTGTCATTTTTCACCAAATATAGACTGCTTGAGGGCTTGTTGTAATAATTCAATTAGTGTGAGAACTTAAATAAAAATTAGTTTCTATTATGGTTTTAGTAGTTAGTTACTAGGCTCTGCTATAAGTAGCAGTGTAACAGAATTCAATACATTCCATTCTTTTGTAAGCAACATATCTTCCTGAATCTCAATAAAAATTGTTCGGATTCTATTCTTCTTCTTAGAATCCCTATTGTTCTAGTTCTTCGTTGTTTTTCATACCTAGAACTACTGTATCAACTAGTATCAGCCTGTACTTTCCACGGATTCGACATGGCAGAATCAACAAGGAATCGCATTGCGGAGCGCGAGATGGAGGAGCGTCTTGGATTGAAGATTGACGAGAAATTCATCGAAATTGCGGGTTCACTTCAGCAATCTCTTCATGATTCATTGACGCAATCTTTGAGAACTTCTTTCACACAGCAAATCAACGAACAATTTCAAGAATTACGGACTCAGGTGTTTGGGGGAAGAAATCAGTCCGCGGGTGCAGGGATTTTTAATTGCGGTGACTGTCCTTCTTACTCTTGTAATACTCGTTTAGCTCGACTTGATTTCCCTAGATTCAATGGTGATGCAGTTAAGCAATGGATCATGCAATGTGAAACTTTTTTTTCGGTTGATAATACACCTGATGAATACAAAGTGCGACTAGCTGTGGTGCATTTTGAGGGATGAATAGTGCTTATGTCAAGAATGTAGGTTTGAGTCAATTGCCTTCTTGGGACAGTTACACCAAAATCTTGATTGAGAGGTTTAAGGGGTGTGATGATCCTATGGCAGAATTAATGAAGTTGAGACAGAAGGGGTTCGTGGCTGCATACCATGAGGAATTCGATGCCATTGTTGCTCGGTTGAACCTGTCTAGTAAACATCAATTGAGTTGCTTTCTTGGTGGCCTTAAGCAAGAAATCCAAATGATGGTGAGGATGTTCCAACCTGTTTCTGTCCAAATTATATGAATCTGGAGCCACTTCTGATTCCCATAAGAACTTCTTACCTAAACCCTTTAAGCCTACCTTTTCAGGCAAACCACCATTGTTACCTAACCCTCCCAAACCCTTAAACACACACAAACCAAACGTACCAACAACCAGAAACTTCACACCTGCTTATATGAGTGAGAGGCATGCTAAAGGCCTCTGCTATTTCTGTGATGAACCATTCACACCAGAACATGGCCAAACCCACAAGAAGCTGCAAATCCATGTCATGGAATTGGAGGATTCAAGTGACAGTATACCTGAGTTGTCACTTGATGAAGACCGGGATGATCAGGACCCTGTTGGGCCATTAATTTCTGTAAATGCAATGTCAGGTTTGCCTAGCTTTCGAACGATGAGGATCACCGGTTATTTCTTGAAGAAACCATTGCATGTGCTCATTGACAGTGGGAGCACACATAATTTTCTAGATGTGGAGGTCGCTAAGAAATTGGGTCATTAATTGTTGCTGATGGAACTAAGGTTGCAGTTTCTTCTATGATCAAAGATTTCACATGGACAATTCAGCAGACTCCATTTACTTCAGATGTTATGCTCCTTCCTCTTGGCTGTTGTGATTTGGTGTTGGGGATAGAGTGGTTGGTAACATTAGGGGATATTACTTGGAATTTTGACAAGTTATCAATGCAGTTCTATGTTCATGGGAAGAAACATGTTTTAAGGGGTGTCACTGGAGTCCATTTTTCTATGTTACAACTTTGTGATCAACATACGGGGTTACTACACTCATTGACCACTCATGCTGTTGTGTCTGAACCTTCTTCTGCTCTGGAAGAGGTGTTAAGAGACTATGAGGATGTCTTCCACGAACCCTCAGGCCTGCCTCCGACAAGACCGGGCCTGCCTCCGACAAGACTGGGTCATGATCATTACATTCCATTGATTCAGGGAGCTAATCCTGTTTTGAAGAGACCTTAGTGGTACAGTAAGCAGCAGAAGGATGAGATTGATAGGTTGGTTCAGGAGTCACTCAGGTCTGGAATCATTCAGCACAGCAATAGTCCATATGCTAGTCCTGTGGTTTTGGTGGGTAAGAAGGATGGCTCTTGGAGACTTTGTGTAGACTATAGAGATCTCAACAAGCATTCTGTTAAGGATAAGTTTCCAATTCCCTTAGTAGAGGATTTACTTGATGAGTTGCATGGTTCAGTAATTTTTTCTAAAATAGATCTCAGGTCGGGGTATAACCAAGTAAGAATGAATGCTGCTAACATACACAAAACTGCTTTTAAGACACATGCAGGGCATTTTGAGTACTTGGTCATGCCCTTTGGGTTGACCAATGCCCCAACTACATTTCAGGGATTAATGAATGATGTTTTTCAGGCTTACTTAAGGAAATTCCTTCTTGTCTTTTTTGATGATATTCTTATCTACAACAAGAGTTTGGAAGAACATTTGCTACATCTCCATCAGGTTTTACAAACCATGAGAGAGCAATTCTTGTATGCTAAGAAATCTAAATGTTACTTTGGTGTCTCCAGGGTTGAATATCTAGGACATTTTATTTCTATTCAAGGGGTTTCTACTGATCCTGAGAAAATTTCTGCTGTTACCAAATGGCCCTTCCCTCAATCACTTAAGCAGCTGAGGGGTTTTTTAGGACTCACAGGGTATTACAGGCGGTTTGTAAAAGGCTATGGCATCTTAACTAAACCTTTAACTGAGATGTTGAAGTTGAAGAAAGATAATTTTTCTTGGACCCCTGAAGCTAAATTGGCATTTCAGTCCTTAAAAGTCACTTAATTAAAGCACCAGTCCTGGCCTTGCCGGATTTCACTAAGGTTTTTTTCATGGAAGTAGATGCCTCAGGGAATGGGATAGGAGCTGCCCTAATGCAAGATCATCACCCTTTGGCTTTCATTAGCAGAGCCCTTAACTTGCAACAAAAGTCACTTTCTACTTATGAAAAGGAATTATTGGCAGTGGTTTTTGCTGTCCAAAAG